TTAGTCATTATACAATAACATAATCAGTGTGCACTGACAAATTTCCACCCGTTAATAAGTGTTTCACCCCCAATCGGATACACAAATCTCCCAAAAATCACAGTGGGTGGTGCCCTTCACTCACCACTATTTCATACGCTGTTTAGCAATGAAAAGAACTGACTTTTGAAGTAGGATTACGTCTTTATCGATGGTATGGGGTACCATTTCACCGAAGCAGCGTCACGAAATCATGTAAGGTACACCGGGGCAAGTAGAAATGCAGTGTAAGTTGAAACGAAAGGTGTAAATATAGGGTTTCCCACTGTAGGGTGGGGCTTAGCTTTCAAAATCTTTCGGGGACACCTTTTCTCACTGTAACGTCGTACGTTTATTTTCTTTCAATTTTTAGTTTAGTTTAGAATAACTATAGTTAGTATTTGAATCTTGTAATTAATTAAGAATTTCAATGCAATTAAAAAAAAGTGATTCGTTTCCAATGCAATGTAGCAAAAAGCTTCGTGATACGTACATTTGTCGGGATTTTTATGGCAAGATAAAAGTGAGCTTGTAGATATGAAGCTTTTATAGCAAGCTAGCAGATGTAGCTTTTGTTTATAGATTGGGAAATACGTGAAAGAGATAGGATTCAAATGAACAACTGAGTAAAATGGCTAAGCCAAACATTGATTTTTCGCGCCATATCCGATCCTTTTATCTTTAATAAATTCCGTGGTTTCTTGGGAAAAACAAATTCTAGTCTCTGTCATTTCGCTAACGAATCGGCTGGAAAGCAGTGGTGTTTGACGCGGTTTTCAAGTTCGTCAGTCAAGTGTGAACTCAGTGAAATTCGATCAAAAAGATTTAGGTTCGAGTCAGTTAATTAATTCGATAGCTCTTTTTGTGCATTTAGATTTTTCTTGCCTGTAGCAAATAGTTCGCGTTTCAAACCGCTGTGTAGATAGTGTGTCTAAATACAAAAAGGTAATTGTTGATTAATTTTGCAAATTTAAATATTACATGAGTTATTTTGTGATTTCGCGTTGGACAGCTCATTCAACGGGCTTTTTTGTACGGGCTGGAATTTTCGGCGAGATCGGCTTCCATCGTCTGGTTTGTCGTGGCGTAAACTTGGCCGCCATTTCCGTCCGTTGGATTCGGACAAGACCCGGGTGCATTGCGAAGGCCCGCCTCTTGTAGGTAGATAAACGGAGTGTCGTGAAGTCGCTAGTTTTGCTAAGCGAAATTCGCCCCAAGGGTCGCCAAAAGCCGTTGGTAGAGTCCCCATTACGTTACAACCCCGGGGACTGTGACATTTGAGAGCTCGGACCGCAGAAGTACGAAGCCAATTGCGTACCTCGGTTCGGATTTTAACCAAAGAGGAGAGGACGACATTTCATCTCGGGCGGTCATAGCGGAAACATAGTACGCGAAGCCGTGCGACGGTACGTTGGTCTCTCTCTTCCACGGAGCGAATCTCCCGGGAAATGCTCGACTACGTCGATGCTCAGCTCTCTAGAAAGCAAATCGGAAGCCTTCCGTCCAGCCGCCACTAACTCCGCACCTCTAATACACGGGTCACTTTTCGTCGCTGCACGCCATTTCCGCAGCTTGATCGGCGCCATTCCGAGACCGCCGCCATCATCACAGGTCGTCGGAAGGTCAACAGTCACCATCGCCAGGACCTTGGTAAGGTCACCGGTCGCCATTACCGCTCCATCCGTCGCAATCACCGATTCATCCATCGCCATCATCGCATTGGATTCGCACATTCGGTTTAGCTTGGTTCGTTAGGTCTAATGAAAATTGGGACTATAATTTGTGGACTTCTTTGAGATTGCGGGTTTCCCTGATGTTAAATGGATCGGATAAAGGTGTATTTTCGATAAAGATTATGACAATGTTCCTACCATGAATATAGGCTTCATTATTGATCCACGACGATACAGGGACAGTGAGGAAACTGCTGTTTATACCTAGTGTATTAAACAGTTTTGCTGTGTTTGCAGTTGCTAAACGTGAAATAGTTGCATTCAACAAGTTTTTGAATGGTAGATCCCGCTTTCTCTCTGGTTTCTTACCTCCTGGTTTCAATCGAATAGACAGTGCGAGATTCTGTCGCTCCATGTCTGGAAGACTTTCATCGAATACAGCAAGCCCAACTAGTTCTTCGCTTAGATACCAAGTGTGCAACGAAAATTTCTTTTGGGCACTGTTTGCAGCAGCCAAGTTAACAGATCCTTCTAGATATTTGCACGTTTGTAACATCGACATACGTTGAAGCAAAGTTTACAGCTACCCGTCCTGTATTGGCACCTCAAACTGATCAGTTTAGATCTGGATCACCTGGTCTACAGGAACACAGAAACACACGATCTGCTTCACCTCTCTCTGTATCTCATTGATTGCGCATAACTGAGTGACAACAACGGGAACGATCTGGATTTCATGATAGATTTTTCACCAATAATGTGTTCCAAACTGCTCAGCTCTGTATTCAATTTAAGTTTATCAGCTGACGGAGCAGCGGTATGCCTGCGGTTTCAATCTAGAAGCGATTGCTAACGGCTAGAACAAAGAGGAAGTGTTTAACATCGATAAATCAACCATTTTGATTTATTAAATGCTCAATCTCATAACAAACAATATTCTATCAGGGGAAAAAAGAAGGTTTTATTGAAATAAATTAATAATTAAAATAAAAGAGTTACTTCATTTCTTAACATCTATCAGAAAGAAAACAAACAAGAGTTAAAATCATAACCTCAATTATGGTTGTAGACCCATTTGAAATTTACTTCTGAATTGAATATTACAGTCCGTGAAAATTTACATTGGAACGAAAAGAATATTGTGTAAATTTCAAATTAAACGTAAAAAAAGTTAGATTCGCTGTAGTTAATTTGTCACATTTGATGTTACGTAAATTTACATGTTTTATTATAACTGTGTGGCGTCGGTAACAGTGGTACTCCGTACGGAAAACAAGATCAACGGAAACCAAATCAAGGGAAAAAAAGATGGTCGCAAGAGGCCAAGTTCTAAACGGCTATAGCTCATTATGAATATCAACCCTGTTGCCATGAATGGAAAAATCCAGTCGCTGCTACGTAATAAAACCTTTCTCATCAGGATAAGCAAAAGAGGATCACCGCTCAGAAGCCTACATCATCGGAGTCGAATATCATTACTTTGAATTTTTCATTGATTGTTTACAAACAACAACAGCTCGCTAACAGCCAATAATGGTGAACAAGCAGACAAAGGACTTAAGTCAGCTATGTGCTCGAAAATAAGTTTGATCAAAGCTTATCACCTTTCGAAAGCTTAGGCGGCGAATAAATGAAAGAAAATAGGCACGTTTTCACGTGCTTTGAATATTTTCTCAGAATGAAAACGCAAAGCCTTGTGAAACAAGTGAACAAAGACGAATAGAACCGTGCTGGTAGATTGAATTAAGAATGTAATCATCCACGTCGTCACCACCGTCGTCGTCGTCGTCGTCGTCTTCGTTGTCTTCATCCTCGCTGAAGAGCAGGCTAATTTCAAGGTAATTTGCTCTTCTAAGACATCGAGTGTAGAGAACCGTGGCGAAAAACCACCAGGATATACCAACTTCCTATATTTGTGTGCACTCAGAAAAAAGACGGCGTGGGGAAAGGAAACAAATTATGTAAACAAAAACAGAACTGCTCACAGTTTGGCTCATTGACAGGCCATCTACTGCTGGTTGGTTTCGGAACCGTTACGTGCTCAGGTGCTGGTGCAGAACGCATTTGCAGTGATTAACCTTGGAATAACATCATTGCTGCATCACGAAATTATCTCCTGCTCGAAATTGCCACGCTTTCTACCATCCACCAGGTACTTTGTTTATGTTCAACGAGACCCCGGTCGGTACTAAATCTTCTTAAAAATGTCCGCTCCTTTCGCCAATCGGTTGTACGTCACTGTACATAACATAGACAAACCCACCAACCAACGGTTTCTATCATCTGAGGAAACCGAACGATTCCCTCCTCGATGGCAGATTGGTTTGATCCCCATTTGATGATCACAAAAGTGCGGTCTCCCCACCACGTTGTTTGCAGTGTGGCCGCCTCCGAAATTGAAAGAAGGACTAATTTACAATTCCAATTCGTTCGGCCGCCAGCAGAAGCAAACAACTTGAGCCAGCTGTCCTTCAGGATTTGCTGATTTTCAATTTTCTTCCCACCATTCGATTTCTTTTTTTTTTATTGCGTTTCCCGTTTCGCCCATCTATCAAGGCGTCCGTAAAACTGTGGACTTGGATCTACTATGGCATCACGAATGTTTGCACGTGGATCACTGGCAAATCTAAATTCAAAGTGATGGCCAATCTTCTACTTAGCGGAAGTTCACAGAATTTACCCAGCAAATGGTTTGGAAAATTGAAGATTGCTACTGTAGCAATTTCGATCTAAGGTGCATGAGGTTGCATACATTTAAATAATGAACGTTTTCACGGTTCACCACTCACTTTATTTAAACAGTAAAATTAAAGATTGAGATTTGTGAATTTCTATGTAAATTACTTACGTAGGTTATAGATTCCCACATTTCTTACTCTGAACCAGCAACTTTGAGCAAGCATTCCGAAACCAAATAAAAAGTAAATATCAAAGAGAAGCAATAACAAACTTCACAAACAAACAATTTATCCTTCACATTGCAGCTCTCCATCGTTATTTGCCGCTTCACCACACCAAGCTTCATGTAAAAGTAACCATCTACCGACCACCAATCATTTTTCCATCGCAAATACCTTCAATCCGCTTCGGTTGATACAATAATCCCTCCGCATATGCGGTGGGTGGTACAGTCCACCCACCACTATATCTCGGCTGTCCTTCAAACAAATGAGCTGATTTTCTGTAGATTCTGACACTTATCACATACAGCGTAATTGGTCGAAGGACTGCACCACAAGGGAGGGGTACCTACATATTTTCAATCTTTTTTCTGATGTTTTCCTTTCTTTTCTCGTTTTCTGCCTTCAGGATGATAAAAGCAATCAGCAGTTGGACGCAGTGCAGAAGCAACAACAGCAACAATTGCAACAACAGCAACAGCTACAGCAGCAGATTCCGGAGAAGAAAAAGTGGATTCACGATCCGTCCAGTAAGTATCGAAATCGTTAAGCCATCTTTTGGTTGTGTTTTGTGGAATTTTGTGGCACATATGATTAAACTGTTCGAGGAAGTTGTAAACTGGCATCCCAAGCAGTATCTGAAGTCTAAATTTCAATTCAAAATTGTTAAAAATTTTGCGAAAATTACTAAACAAAATTGCTTTAAAGGGTGTCCCACATCAAATTATATCACGGAAAAAACCGCTGTAGAAAATTACCTAGTTGACCGATCCTTTTCAAACTTTCAGACAATAAAATACAACCCATTAGTAAGCTTTTGGCATATTTATTTTATTCAACTTCAATACCATAACCGTACGCTCGCACCTTACGCTTAACTCCACTCATTAGGTTCTGTACAACATCTGCCTGCAGCTTCTTCTGTACGGAAACCCACTTTTATTCATGTCTTCCTCAGATTTGACCTCCTTGGGATGCTTCCGTAATAGCCCAATATTTTTCGATGGGCCTTAGTTCTGATGCGTTGGGGGGGGGGGGGGTTCATGTCCTTGGGTACAAAAGTAACCCCGTTGGCTTCGTACCACTCCAGGACAACATTTGAATAGTGGCACGAAGCTAGATCCGGCCAGAAGATCGTAGGGCCCTCGTGTTGCTTCAACAAAGGAAGCAGACGCTTCTGTAGACACTCAGGTAGATCTCACCGTTTACAATCCCGGTAGTCACGAACGGCGCACTCCGTTTGCCACATGAGCACATCGCTTGCCAAATCATGTATTTCTTGGCAAACTTTGAAAGTTTCTGCTTCCTTACTTCCTACGGAACATCAAACTTGTGCTGGGCGGTGAAGAACAATAGCCCCGGAAGCTGCTGGAAGTCCGCCTTGACGTAAGTCTCATCATCCATGATGAGACAATGAGGCTTCGTCAGTTCGTCACGATTTGGAGCCTTCTGCACTTTGTACGTATGCACTCCCTCCCGGTCCTTGGCTCTCTGAACGAAAGACTGGGACAGATTCAACTTTTTGGCCACATCCCTGACCGAAGCATTGGTATTCCGCTTAAACGCTTTCACGACACGCTTGTGATCCTGACCACTAATAGAACATCCATTCTGATTGCATTTCTCCTTCCGTTCGATGCTCAGAGTTTCGTAGTAACGTTTAATCACACGACTCACCGTTGACTGCGCGATTCCGAGTTGTTTTCCGATGTCCCGATGAGAGAGTTGAGGGTTTTCCAGGTGCTTGCGCATAATCAATTCCCAACATTGCATTTTGGGTGACGCCATTTTTTCCAACTTTCGAAAAACTAACAGCGATAAAAATACAATGTAAACAATACACTCTAAACTACTTCTTCCCGAATTTTCAAGAGAAAATACCCAATGGGAAATTTTCTACAACGTTTTTTCCGTGATCTAATTTGATGAGGGACACCCTTTAAACTACCGAATAACTTGTTAAGCTGGGTTTAGACTAGGCAAGTCAAATGATCAACTCAGTTGAATTCAATTGGCTTGAAAAGTTGAGCCTGGTTCCACTTTTTTTTTTTTTTATTCAAGTGAGTGGATCAAGTCAGTTGAATGGCATGGTTTACATGTTCAATTCGCGTTCAAGTCAGTTGATTGACTTGCCCTGTCTAAACCCAGCTTTAGTCGTGAACTTTGAGTACAGGTAATGTTTCATTGGTAAAGCTTAAGGCATTTTTTAGAGAATGTTTTAAATATAAAACCAAGTCGGGAACATGATGGCACCTGCACTGAAATGTAAATGTACCTCGGAAATCTTCACGTTAAGAAAAAAGTAACCAAAATTATGAAGTAATGAAATTGGGTTGTTACCGGTATGGTCAAATAAAACAACACAAAAGGTTATCATATTCCACTTAATTAATTTTGGAACCTATGACAGATACGCATTTCGACTACAATGTGCAGTCTTCATCAGTGCCATTCCCACTTAAGACATATCAAAATGCAAAAAGCTGACTCAAAGCTGACCCCTTTTTTATTTTGCCTCAGTGGTATAACTGGCATAGTTGGACATCGATCTGTCAAAATAAAAGTTTCGTGATATCGACACTGAGCATTCATAAGGACCAATGTCGAAAACATAAAGAATGGCTTCTTTCGTAAATGACTCGTGCTTCAAAGTCAATCAAAGTAAGCCACTAATTTTATCGGATAGGAGGACTTTTCTGTACACAATCATGATGTTGGTTTTCTTGAGTGAGCTTTCATTTTCGAGAAATTCACGCAAAAAGTAATTATTTACGTTTGCAGCATTGGCCCTTATGAAAGGAAGCATTGACGTTGACGGCGACTCTGCAACTCTTTACTCATGGTAAAATCACATAAGCTTCTGACAATCTATGCATGAAATCTAGCGGACTTTGTCTTATCTCTTCATTCCTCCAGCAAGCCACCTTTTCTTCACACAAAGATTGATAGAATCATATGGGATTTTCGTAGGAGTGAAAGAGTAAGGAAATGTTCAGCAAGTTTCACGCACAGACTGATGTTTGCTTATGGGATTTTACCATAGGAGTGAAAAGTTACAGAGTGACCGGAGAGGCGAATTGTCAATAGTCACGGTAATGCTTAATGAGATGTAAACCGGTGAGGCCCAGATAATTCGTCGTCTCCTTTGTTCCCGCGCTGTTTAAATGCTTGACGGAGTTTGACGTGTATGCATTCTTTTAACGACTAGTTCGACAGGGGGCTTCTCAAAGGATTTTTTAACTAGTGTTTTCAAGTCGGTCGTCTCTTCGATCTTTTTAGTTTGCATTGGATTCATTACGGAAATTGTGTTAATTGCATGTAATTTGATGCAAACAATTCGAAGATTTGATGATTACGTCGCATAGGTGTGAAACTATAATTATGTCTGTGGTATGTTGAAATATTGTTAACTGTGCTTTTAGTGAGTCAACTTATGATTACAGCATGAAATATCCAGTTAATGCATATTAACGATTATTTTCGTTGGTAAATAGTGCTAAACTTTGATACATCTAGCTGGGAGCCCCACCCTGGGACCTTAGCCATAGTGGTCGAACAAAAATTGTTATGATTGTGTGTAGCTCCTCCTTTGCCTTTTCGATCAACAAGGATCAACGTTACCACGTTATTTTGAAGAAATTTTCAAATTTTAAAATCTTGGATATTATATCATTTATCGTCCTGCTTGCAAAATTTCGATTTGAACGATGCAAAGTCAGCCCAAAACACTGCATATTTTTCAAATGAAACTTCTGACTCTTGTTCCAAATTTTGCTGCTTCTCTCTGGACTTCAAAATGTAAACTCCCAATGAAATCAAAGTTTGATGCAATTAGTTCCAAAAAATTAGAAAATTTCCAAAGAAGGAAATGTTACATACATGTTTCATCTAAGTTTACCACAGTTTTGCTATGTGAATCGTGATTAATTTGTTAAAGTTAGCTATATAATTATAAATAAAGCACATAAATGGTAAAGGAAATATTATTTAAATGAATTGGCAAGTCCCTTGATCCTCTTTCTCATTTTAAAGCTGGTATATTCAATTTGACAGATTGATGTCCATCTATAAAGGGTGTCCACGATGAAATTGCCACACTATGAAATTACTCTAATTTTTTAACCGTTGGGTAGAATTTAATGAAAATTTGGGTGGATTTAGTTCATAGTGCATTATTTACATCCTGCAAGTTTTAAAGTCCTGTGATCAAAACTCGCGGAAATGGAGTCGAAAGAACAGCTCGTGCGTGATAAAATCTTGCGCATTCATCACGAGAACAAGGATCTCTCGCATCGTTCCATCGCTAAAACGTTGGTAATCGCGAATTCCACGGTGTCGCGAGTGATTAAGCGGTTCGAGGAACGGTTGACCACCGATCGGAAGCCCAGAAGTGAAGGAAAAAGTATTCCGTACAACACCAAAAATCACAACCGCGTAGTTGGGGCCTTCAACCGAAATCCGAACGCCTCCGTTAGGGATGTGGCTAAGAAGCTGCACCTAAGCCGAAGTTTTGTCCAGAAGGCCAAAACTAAGGCTGGGCTTCGAACGTTCAAGGTACAAAAGGCCCCTAATCGCGACGAGAAGCAGAACAAGTCCGCCAAAACCCGTGCCAGGAAGTTGTACCTCAACATGCTGACGAAAGTTGAATGCTGCATCATGGACGACGAAACATATGTGAAAGCCGACTTCAAACAGATCCCCGGCAACCTGTTTTTCACGGCCAAGGATAAGTTCAGCGTTCCGGAGCATGTCCGCACTCAGAAGATGTCCAAATTTGCGAAGAAATTCCTGGTTTGGCAAGCCATCTGCACGTGCGGGAAGCGGAGTGCACCTTTCGTGACCCAGGACACGATGAACGGACAGGTGTACATTAGGGTGCTTCATTCTGAAAAAAGTGATGAATTTCTGATGGGCCACCCTCCAGTTCGATTCATAGCCCCAAAATATGAACCTGTGCAAAAATTGGTAAAGATTGATGAAGGTTTAGAGGTCGCGTCAATGATTTGAAATTTGTATGGGAATTACTATGGAAGAATTTAAAAAATCGCTTATATCGCTATAACTTTGCTTCTACTTGTCCAAATGTCGAAAAAATTTAGTATGTTATTGCTATGGCAATAAACAAAAAGCCTACAGTTGCTACGCTCAGTTTTGCAGCGTATCAAGAATTATAAAAATGTGAAAAAATGGCAAAATAGGGTAAATTGACAGATGAATATGTACAAGGCAACAACGCCAATTTCATCGCAACAACAACAGACTTGTTGATCATTGTCATGACAACCACATATTTTTTTTTTTCAACGTTTGGACAACTACAACCAAAGTTAGAGCAATGTAAACGAAAATCAATAATTTCCCATACTAATTCACCAAAATCTCCATACAAAATCCAAATCATTGGCGCGACCTCTAAACCTACATCAATCTTTACCATTTTTTGCACAGGTTCATATTTTGGGGCTATAAATCGAACTGGAGGGTGGCCTATCAAAAATTCATCACTTTTTTCAAAATGAAACACCCTAGTGTACATAAAAGAGTGCCTCCAGAAGCGGCTGCTTCCTCTCCTGAAGGCCCACAACGTCCCAACAATCTTCTGGCCGGATTTGGCCTCATGTCACTACTCCAAGGACGTGCTGAAGTGGTATGCGGACAATAAGGTCAATTTCGTGCCGAAAATGTTCAACCCTCCCAACACTCCGGAGCTCCACCCCATCGAGAAGTACTGGGCGATTATGAAGCAGCACCTTCTTAAACGACCTAAGGTAGTGAAGACAGTCGAGGAACTGAAGAAAGTATGGGTTTACATGCAAAAAACGGTTGATTCACAGGTTGTGCAGAATCTTATGGCCGGGGTTAAGGCCAAGGTGTGGGCATTTGCGTATGGACTGTAAATAAAATACGAGTAAAATGGTAAAATGAAGTTTAATAGTTATTTCTCAATCCCTGAAAATTTGATGGCAATCGGATGAAAACTCGAATTTTGCGAATCAATTTTGTGTGTGGCAATTTCATCGTGGACACCCTTTACCACTTGAAATCACTGAAATGGGGTCGATTTTTGATGATCGAGTTCCACATATGTTATGTGCTAGGAGATTGAACCAAAAAAGGGTTGATCTCGCTTGATGAGGTCAAGTTTGCGTTTTCCCACATAACGCTGACCCAGTACTGAGTGAGTACAAAATATTGTAAATAAAGGTTGATACGGTTAAAATTTGGTCAAGGGAAAACGCGTGTAAATCGGTGAAATCGTTTATTTAAAAAATCAAATTAAATTTCTTTTTCAAGTTCAATTAGTATAAAATTCAGGAAAAATATTCAGTTAGGCTTCCGCTTTTCCAAATCCGAATTTCCGGGCCTTACGCTTGACCCCTGCCATCAGATTTTGTACAGCCACCTTGTCCACCTTCTTCGCCGCAGAAAGCCAGTTTGCCTTGAACTGCTGCTCGCCCTTAGCAGTTTTTTTGGTCTTCTTTAGGTTCCGCTTGACAATAGCCCAGTATTTCTCAATTGGGCGGAGCTCTGGCGTGTTGGGAGGGTTCTTGTCCTTGGGACCCACCTGCACGTTGTTGGCGGCGTACCACTCCATGGCCTTTTTACCGTAATGGCAAGATGCCAAATCCGGCCAAAACAGTACGGAACAACCGTGTTTCTTCAGGAAAGGCAGCAGACGTTTATTCAAACACTCTTTCACGTAAATTTCTTGGTTGACAGTCCCGGAAGCTATGAAAATGCTGCTTTTCAAGCCACAGGTACAGATGGCTTGCCAAACCAGATATTTCTTTGCGAACTTTGACAGTTTCATGTGCTTGAAAACATCTGCTACCTTTCCCCTTCCTTTTGCCGTATAAAACTCCTGTCCCGGAAGCTGCTTGTAGTCGGCTTTGACGTAGGTTTCGTCGTCCATTACCACGCAGTCAAACTTCGTCAGCATCGTCGTGTACAGCCTCCGGGATCGCGCTTTGGCCGTCGTATTTTGTTTATCATCGCGATTTGGAGTCACTACCATCTTGTAAGTCGATAGTCCGGCTCGTTTTTTGGCTCGATGCACGGTTGTAGACGATACACCCAGCTTATTTGCGGCATCTCGGAGAGAGAGGTTAGGGTTTCGCTTGAAACTACCGGCAACTCTCTTTGTCGTCTCAGCGGCTTCCGGTTTTCGATTTTCCCCCGATCCAGACTTCCTGGCTGTCGACAAACGTTCCCCAAACACTTTAATTACATTTGAAACGGTTGATTTGGCAACTTTTAGCGATTTTGCCAACTTTGCGTGCGAGTAGCTCGGATTTTCGCGATGCGCGAGCAAAATTTTGATACGCTGCTCTTCTTGCTTGGACGGCATTTTGACAACTGAAGAGTGAATTCCAAAATCAAAATAGGAGCAACATTCTACACACACACACCTTCAAAATGAGGGGTGTTCAGGTTTTTTAAATGCAAAATTGAAAGAAATACGTCAAGTTGATATTGACCAAATTTTGACCGTATCACCCTTTATGGTCTACGAACGTGTTCTTAAATTCTTATTTGATTTGTTATGTCACATACGGAGCTGTACTTAGAATTTTTATTTAGGTGGTCCCTCTTCCTGGCTCTTTTACTTTTACTATGTCCTCATCACATTCCATAAGGGTAGCGCAAAAGCGACAGAGATATCGCAGCATTTTTTTACTATTATACCTGTTTTGTTTGACATAAAGTGGGAGTTATTCAGCCCAAGGATGCCAGATGTATTTATAAAAAAATATTCAACGAGATCGACGAGTTGTTTTCACATGTCTTCACTCTTTCTTTTATAATTTGTGGGTGGGTTAAGAAGTCAAATATTGAATAATTATGAAACTGAGTTTCAGGGAGCTTCTTAGAAGCCAAGGACAGTTCGTAAAAGTTAAGAGAACATCATTTCATTTCAAAGAATTTCGTAGAAGCTCGAAAGACTTCTTAAAAGTAAAGGGAACGTTTCATAATATCATGGAAATTCATAGATTTTCAGGAATCAGCGTAGGACTTTCAATAACTTTGTAGACATTAAGAACACCAAATGTAATAGAACTTTGTTAAAGCTCAGCAAACTTTGTAACGGCTCAGCAAACTTTATAGAAGCTCAGAGAACTTAGTTTAACATCCTAATTCAACAAGTTTTATAGTTGAGTACGGGCTGTATATGATTAGACTAGACTAGGCTAGAATGATTTCAACAATGTTTATAGACATGCAGAGAACTTGTTCTCATTAAATATTATTGAAAATTTGTGAACTTAAGAAAAATAAAGCAAATTTTGTAGAAGGGGAACTACGATCAATCTCAGGGATTTTTCTTTAACTTCAGTAGACTTTTTAAAACTTCAAGGATTTCGTTCAGGGGATATCGTAGAAATTCAGGAAGTTTATTATAAATTCGGGAATCTTCACAGAGCTTCAAAGATTTTTTAAGAAATTCAGGGTGCTTTTTTTCCTCGATTTGTTTTCCGTCGATCTTGTTTTCCGTGCTGGGGCGCTTATCACTACACCACCAGCGCCGTCATTCAGGGTGCTTTGTATGCATTAGAGAAAGCTTTGTAGCATTGGAAACCTTGTAGATGTTTGAGAACTTCGTTGAAGTTTAGAAATCATTGTTTAATATTAAGAAACTTCATGAAAGTTCTATTAGCTTCTGACGTTAAAATTGAATGGACTTAAAATAGATCGGAAAATGCCGTGGAAATTTAGAAAACTTTGTAGAACTGCTTTGCAGAGCTGCAAGAGAATTAGCAGAGAAATCAAACAAATAATTTCAGAAACTTCGTTAAACATCATAGAAGTGTTGAGATTTTTGTTAAGATCAAAAAACGTAGAAGTTCAGCCACAATTGTAGGAGAGTGAACTTCGTAGGAGTTCAGCGAATTTTGAACGTCAGGGTTTGATTTGGGATGTTATTGGAAGATTTAATATTTTTGTTTCATCCAGATAATTAGGAAAATTCGTAGAGAAGGTCTTTCCTGAAATTTGCAGAAGGTCATGAATGTTCTGGGATCTTGGTTAAATTGAGATAACTAATTATGAAACTAGGAAGAAGTTCATGGAGCTCTGTAGAAGATGCGAAAATTATCTAGAAGTAAAGAAAATGGATAAGTCAAAGAACACTGGAACAATTTTTCACCCTCAGGAAATTGTAAGTGGCAAATGCCACCTTCGCCACCTGCTGAGAACGGTGCTGCTAATAATAATTGCATTTCCAATTATTATGATAAAATCTTATCATATCTTGCATTTGTGGGTGCACCCGGCACATGTCCAGATATAGCAAACACGCATGGGAAAATTCATTCACTCGTACAAGCACCACAGATACAAAATAGCCATCCTCACCTACAAACACATTTCCGAGCGGGTGTAAACTCTTCCAACCACGTGACTCTGCATGTAGGCACGGAACTGACAGCAGCAGAAGAAATGAAGGATAAACTGAAAGGCAGCCGAACAATTTTCTCAACCGAGGGAGAACCTGATTGAATGCGTAAAAACGGAACGGTCCAGTGATATCAGTTGAATTGGCCACAGCAGTTTTACAATATTTGTTACGTTTATGTGTTACAGAATAATACTTTTCTCCATGTTAATACCAATTAAATGTGTAAATTTATGTTTAAATCTACAAAATAAAAAGTGATTCTTTCTACAAAATTCTCACTCAGTTTCTTCGAGGCCTTCCCGAAAAAACGTGCTTAACTTTTTAACTCAGCTCTGGTACTATCTTCGGTCCCAAGCTGATCGATGCACCCCTCGAAACATAAGAAAATCCACGAACCCCTCATTTTATCTGTCAAACTTTGATAGCGAATTGAAACAAACATAGTGTAGTACTAGAACTTCGACTAAAATGGGGTACGTTATTCGATTTGCTTGGGACCAATAGGCTAGTCAAGTAGTGAGCCAATTTAAAATTGTCAGTTTCCACTGGTTGCTACTACACTCCAAATCATTCATGTTACGCTCAGCTATCTGTTTTGCTCAATTCTGCGTTCAGTGAAGAAAATAGACGCAATCAGAAAACAAATGAAATCAGTGCGGTTCGAACAAGCTACTGCCAGAGCTGGTAAATATCACGACCGTCATGTGACAATGAGAAACAGGTCCTCTAGCTATCACGAGACGAAACTACCAATCATGAGATTTCTTGTCATTTCAAAAGGTTCTAGCATTCATGAGAATAATTGGCATACGGCTTTGACATCAACATTTCTAACTGATTTAGATGAATTTAGACAAGCAACCGTATGTAATCGGTAGAGTGAATATATTTTTAAGATTTCCGCGGTACAAGTAACAATAATATAAATAAATGAGCTAGTAATAGCGATGTTAACAACACTGTCACGTTCTGTCATGACAAAATAAATCGAAGAGATTTTGAAGTAAATCTCTATCATCGTTTTCTCATCCGATGATAGTGACAAAAGTATCTCTGTAAATATCACGTGAAATCTTTCATTGAAAATTACATTTGCCAGCTATACATTTGTATGTATTATGCTAAATGTAAGACCATTGTTTCAATAATCCTTCTTATCGTAGGCTATTTCTCAAACTTTTCTTTGTACAAGGCCCATCATCTTTTGCACGAGCCCTGTTGCCACTTGTTGGGCTGCCGAATTCCATTTTCGCTTGAAATCTTTCAGGCTACCTTTTCTTCAGCATGTGCTTCACAATTGACCAGTATTCCTCAATTGGCCTTAGTTCCGGAGA